AACTGGGCAGCCCAAACTGGAATATTGTTACTGCAGCTCTCCAGTTAACAGTGCTGCTGGCTTGGTGCTGCAGTAGTGTTAGTGTGTCTTATCCTTTAAGAAAGAAGCCTGCGCTCTGCTGATGATATATAGTATGTAGAGGTCATCCTTCACTTAGTATAACAGCCTGCTTACCCTTTTATTACTGCTGGTGTTGAAATGTGTAACGGCAACGAACCCTTTAATTTATAGTGCTGCCATCTGCTGTTAACACATAAGAGAGGTTACAGAGACATATAAGAGAGGGCACAATCCATAGGAGGCGATTCAGCTCATTTAGCTCATTTAGCTGGTAGCTAATTGAGGCTAATTGCACTTCCCTGTGGTTCCCACTTGTGTTCTGGCTCATGTTTCACTGCTGATTCTGAAGAGGTCCATTGGGATGACTTTGTCAGTGCCTGTGAGGATTATGAATACTTGGGTCAGGTCTGTTCTTAGGCTGCGCCGTTCAAGATTAAAGAGACTCAGTTCCTCCAGCCTGTCAGTGTGGGACAGTCCCTTCAGACTAAAGAGACTCAGTTCCTCCAGCCTGTCAGTGTGGGACAGTCCCTTCAGACTAAAGAGACTCAGTGCCTCCAGCCTGTCAGTGTGGGACACTCCCTTCAGACTGATTCCAGAGCAGCAATATTACTTTCTGTGATGCCATGATGACAATTGTACAAAATACTGTCAAAAATCAACAATGACTAGTTCTTACTAGTGCATCTTACAATTTTAGCATAGCCTTCCTCGATTGACACACTGCAGTTTGTCTGCTCCATACTGTATAAATCCTTGCTTGATGCTGACATGCTTGCCTTTCCCCACTCGTCACCTCGGGCCCAGAGTGTGTCTCTCCTGTCCCTCTGTCCCTCCTCCGCCCCTTCTCCCCACTCCCTGCTGTCTCTCCCCTGTGCTGGCCTCTGCCCCTCTCCCTCCCTCACCGGCCGCGAATCTCGCCTCCTTCTCCCCGTCGCTCAGGTCC